CCCCAAAACCCCAAAACCCCAAAACCCCAAAACCCCAAAACCCCATTTTTAGAGATTACTATTGAAGCATCTTAATATGCGATCTTATTTGTTCATGAAGACTCCGCTGTTGTTAGCAGCACTTTGCCATTCAGATTGGAAGGTCCTCTTTCTGTTGAAGTTGTAGTTGTGCTTATTGGAAATAACATTTCCACCCCAAACGAATGTTTCTTCGGGGGAGACAGTGTTTTCGTAGTTCGTCATTGCTCCTCCAAGCGTAGAAAGTCCTGGGTCTAGAAAATTATATGTAAGTTTATAAAAGATTGGAATTTCTAATTATAGTGGCTATTTCCTCATTCTAGAGCACAAAGTGTCTTTTGTAAAAGCAGGCTTTTCAGCAGAATATAACGAGCTAAAAGAGTAACACATGTCCAAACTATCTATTTCCCTTCAAATTCTCAAATTTGCTTCAAACTTACTGTGGCTAGAGGCTTCGCTATAAAAAGTTCTGTTGCCGTCAAACTGCCTCTTAGGAATATTATAGTCAGCAAAGGTAGAGACTGTCTGGTTCATCTGGGCAGGGGATGGCTTGGACTAAGCCTATTAGTTATGCTAAACATACCTTCTTCAAAGAATTGTGCTTAATATCAGTCAGTGTCTTTCTCAATTTCTCTTTTTCCAATCTTAATAACTTTAAAATTTGAGAAGGATTAGAATTGATCCCTCCCTCGATAGGAATGTTCCTTTCTCTTAGAAACTTCTGGGCATTTGAAGTTGCTTTGTAGATATGGTCTACAAATTAGGGAGATAAGTTACCCTTGCTATGTCCTCTTCTGTGCATCACTCTTCTAGCGTTTTTATGAGTTCTTACAACCTGATTTGCAAAACGATTGTCTTTTGAATGGTATCTTTTGCTATTTGGATGATTCGCATCTTCCTCACGTCCTCTGTCATGGATATTTAGGGACTGGTTTCTCCGATACTGAGAATTATGAGACCCTCTTTGGTAATTTTTGGCAGCTTGCTTTCCACCAGAGAAGATAGGATAGCACTCTGATAAGTAATTTGCAAGATTTGGAATTCCCTTCTGAACTAAAATCTAAGTTTATGTTTCTTACCATTTTCTAGAGCTTTGTTGTCAGCAGGTTTAAAGTTCTTCATATATTGAGTTTTTAAATAACTCTCTCTTTTCCTTGTGTCATTCAGAGTGTTGTGAGAAACCCCTAAATTGTTTTGTGATTTGTTCAAATGGTTGAAGTAGTCAGAATCTCTGGTAGCATACTTCCATCCAGTACGATTCCATCTGCAGGGAGTTAGCTCCAAAGCCTGATCGTGTTCTATATCTGAAGACCTCCCATAGTTATCAGTATGTCTTCTTTCAATAGAAATCTTTTTTGTTGGGGAAGGTGCAGTGTCAGCATCACTAGATCCATTCCCAGAACTTATGGTAGCAAAGGGATTAATTGAAGTTGGCTTGGCAGCAAACTCTTGTGCTTTCCTCTTTTGCTGGTCCAAAAAGTCGCTAACTCCTGTTCTCATTGCGTTACCAAATCTGTCTACTTTACCTCCCGCAACTTTGATCCTTTTGTTTGATTTGAAAGGGCTAGAATTCTTTCCTTCTACGACTTGTGTATCCATTTTATTCTGTAAATAAAATTGTGAAATTTTGTTCTTTTCTCAAATTTCCCGTATTAATATGGGGTTTTGGGGTTTTGGGGTTTTGGGGTTTTGGGG